GTATAGATGGGGGCGTGTTGTCCTCCTTTCTCCTTAAGTCGATGCTTAGTTCTTTTACTTTGCTGACATTGAGAGAGAGGTCATTATCATTGCACAACAACACCATGTCCTGCATCTCCTTTCTGTATTTGGACTCATCATTGTTTGATATCTGTCCTACCATGATGCTGTCGTCAGCAAACTTGCAGATGGCGTTTGTTCAGAATTTGGCTACACAGTCGTGGGTGTACAGGGAGTACAGTAGGAGCCTGAGAATGCATCCTTGAGTGTTATTGTGGAGGAGGTGCTGTTGCCTATGTTCACTGATTGCAGTCTGTGGGTCTGAAAGCTGAGGATCTAATTGCAGAGGGTGGATTCGAGACCTAGGTCTTAGAGTTTTGAGATCAGTCTGGAGGGGATAAAAGTGTTTAAAGCGGGGCTGAAATCGATGAGTAGGAATCTGACGTAGGTGTCCTTGTTGTCCTCATGTTCCCGGGATGAGTTCAGGGTAGGGAAATGGCATCTGCTGTGGACCTGTTACGTTGGTAGGCAAATTGCAGGGTTTGAGGCAGGCTGAGCGGCTAAAGTTGATGTGAGCCATGACTAGCCTTTCGAAGCACCACATGATTATGGAGGTCAGAGCCACTGGGTGGTAGTCATTAAAACACGCTGCATATGCTTTCTTAGGTACGGGGATGATGGTGGTCTTCTTGAAGCCGGTGGGGACTTCAGCTTGTAGGAGGGAGAGGTTGAAAATGTCAGTGATTACCTCCACCAGCAGGTGCACACAGGATCTAAGTGCACAGCTGGGGACTCAGTCCTGTCCTGTCGCTTTCTTAGGGTTAACACTCATCGTGACATTCAGGATGATCTGAAGTCTGCAGCAGTGAAGGAGGGAACTGTTGTGTCTAGGCTGTTGGGGCAGGTGACCCCATGCTGCTGGCATTCTGCTCAAACCAAGCATAGAAAGCACTGAGCACATCAGGGAGAGATGTGTTTTTGGCACTATCTTGCTCTGGATCATTTTGTATCCTGTTGTGTAGGCCTTGTCACAGGCAGCGGGTATCCGTACGGTTGGCTTGGGCCTTTGGCTTGGCCCGCTACTGCTGCTTGACATCTCTGGCTTTCCACAGGTCATATCTGGATTTTCTGTATAGGTCTGGGTCGCCCAATTTGAATGCTGCATGCCTACCCTTCAGTAGGCAGTGGATTTCCTGGTTCATCCAAGGTTTCTGGTTTGTTGGAGCTGCACCCATCCAGGCAGATGGGAGTATTCCACTACACTCCTGACTTTTGCCTCTTTGATGGTGGAAAGGCTCTGGGGAGTCGGGAGCTGAGTAACGTGACATAGTAATTCTAGACTTTGACTTGTTCTTGTAGCCACTGTGTTTATGTAGCGAGTCCAGTTCAGTTTCTGGTCAATAGTAACCACCAAGATATTGATAGTCAGGGTTCAGTGATGGTAACACCATTGAATGTCAAGGGATGGTAGTTGTATTCTCTCTTATTGGAGACAATCATTTCCTGACATTTGTGTGGTGAGTGACCCTGGCAGAACCCAAACTAGGCATCGCTGAGCAGATGCTGTTTGATAACACTGTTGATGCCACCTTCCATTACTTTACTGATGATCAAGAGTAGACAGATGGATTGATAATTGGCTGGATTGGATTTGTCCTGCTTTTTGTGTACAGTACATACCTAGGCAATTTTCCACATTGTCGGGTAGATGCCAGTGTTGTAACTGTACTGGAAGAGTTTGACTAGGGGACCGGCAAGTTCTGGAGCACAAGTCGTCAGTCCTTTTGCCGGAATGTTGTCAGGGCCCGTAGCCTTTGCAGTATCCAGAATCTCCAACCGTTTCTTGCTATCATGTGGAGTGAATTGATTGGCTGAAGACTGGTATCTGTAATGCTGGGGACTACAGGAAGAGGCCGAGATGGATCATTCACTCAGCAGTCCTGGCTGAAGATTGCTGGAATCCTTCGGCCTTATCTTTTGCATTGATGTGCTGGGCTCTTCCATTATTGAAGATCAGGATATTTGTGGAGCCGCCTCCTCCAGTGAGTTGTTTAATTGTGATTGGTTGACTCGCCAAGCTGGTTTGTTGTTCAGCAGATGTTTCATTACCCTGCTGGGTAACATCATCAGTGCAGCCTCCGATGAAGTGCTGTTGTGTTTTCCTGCCTGTCATTTAAACTGTAGTGTCCGTTGAGCTGGATTACCTCACTTCCAGTTTTCCTTCGCAGTGGAGTGTATATGGGGTCTAGCTCTATGTGTTTATTGATGCCTTTCTTAGTGGAGTACCAGGCTTCTAGGAATTCCTGTGCTTGTCTCTGCTTTGCCTGTCCCAGGATCCTGGTGGTGTCCCAATCGAATTGGTGGTTTTCCTTATCCATGTGGATGGAGGTGAGTGAATATTGGTTGTTGTGAACCATTATTGTGAATATTGTTGCCAGTTGGTGTTCATGTACCCTTTGATCCGAACCAAAGACCCACTACCCACTATGGACAGGACCAATGTCAGAAACAAGATTCCCTGCAAAGACTGTGACAAACACTACATTGTACAAACAGGAAGGAAATTAGCCACAAGGGTACATGAACATCAACTGGCAACAAAAAAGACACGACCAATATTCACTTATCTCCATCCACATGGATAAGGAAAACCACCAATTCGATTGGGACACCACCAGGATCTAGGGACAGGCAAAGCAGAGACAAGCACAGGAATTCCTAGAAACCTGGTACTCCATGAAGAAAGCCATCAACAAACACATAGAGCTACACTCCACTGAGAAGGAAAACCGGAAGTGGGATAGTCCAGCTCAACGGACACCAGAGTTTAAATGACAGGTGGGAAAACACAACAGCGCTTCATCGGAGGCTGCACTGATGGTCTTACCCAGCAGGGTAATGAAACGTCTGCGGAACAACAAACCAGCTCCGTGAGCCAACCAACCAACCACAACATCCACGACTCAAACTACAAATCTACTCTAAAACCTTAGAGATGTTTAATTGTCCACCACCATTCACAACTGGATGTGACAAGACTGCAGAGCTTAGACCCAATCCGTTGATTGTGAGATTGCTTAGCTCTGTCTATCACTTGCTGCTTGTGCTGTTGTCCTATTCAGTGGCTCCACCAGGTTGACACCTCATCTTCAGTTATGTGTGGTACTGCCCCTGGCATGCCCTCCTGTACTCTCCATTGAATCAGGGTTGATCTCCTGGCTTGATGGTAATGCTTGAGTGGGGGATATGCCGGGCCATGAGGTTGCAGATTGTGCTGGAGTACAATTATGCTGCTGTTGATGGCCTCCAGAACCTCATGGATGCCCAGTCTTGAGTTGCTCGATCTGTGCGAAGTCTGTCCCATTTAGCACGGTGGTAGAGATTATTCTCAATGTGAAGGCGGGACTTTGTCTCCATGCTGACTCTGTCTGATCCTCTCACTGTTTTACAACTGCTCTGCTACCAAAGTTTTATAATGGACTTTAGCATTTTGCCCATTACTAATGTCAGGCTAACTGGCCTATAATACCTGCTTTATCTTTACCTCCTTTTTTAAATAGGAACATAGAAACAGAAGTAGGCCATTCAGCCCCTCAAGCCTGTTTCATCATTTATGGAGACTTATTCACCCCTTGAACTGAGTGGCATGCTGGACCATTTCAGAGTGCAGTTAAGAGTCAACAACAATATTGTGGGTCTGGAATCACTTTATGTAAAGTTGTTGTGTTGGAGTTGTCACGGTCCAGGCAAACATCTGTTGCCCATCCTTCATTGCCCTTGAACTGATAGGCTCTCTCACCCATTTCAGAGGACTTTTATGAGTCAGCCACATTGCTGTCTAGAACCAATTGTAGGGCAAGGGCTACAGATTTCTGTTGTGAAGGGCATTTATGAATGTAATGTGTTTGTGAAATAGTGTAAGCCCACCAAGCCCTGGTTAGACCCCACTTGGAGTACTGTGTGCAGACCTGGGCACCATGTCTTAGGAAGGATATATTGGCCTTGGTGGGAATACAACATAGGCTTACAAGAATGATATTGGACTTCAGGGGTTGAGTTATGAGAAATTGTACAAATTTAGCCTGTTTTCTGTAGAATTGAGGGTTAAGGGTGATCTGGACAAAGTCTTCAAGATATTAACAGGAAAAAACAGGAAAGATAAAGTATTTCCATTTGTGGAGATTCTAGAATCAGGCGGCATAGTCTGAGAATTAGGGCCAGACTGTTCAAGAGAAATGTTAGGAAACACTTCTACACACAAAGGGTGGTAGAGGTTTGGAACTCTCCTCCACAAATGGCAGTTCATGCCAGATTAATTGTTAATTTTAAATCGGAAATAGATAAAATTTTGTTAACCAAAGGTATTTAAGGAATAAGTGCGAAAGGCAAGTCCACAGAGTTAGGCCACAGATCAGCCATGATCTCATAGAATGGCGAAACCTGCACCAGGGCTGAATGGCCTACTCCTATTCCTATGTTCCTATTTTAAAAAAGAGGTAAAGATAAAGTAGGTATTATAGACAAGTTAGCCTGACATTGGTAGTGGGTAAAATGCTAGAGTCCATTGTAAAAATTTAATAGCAGGGTACTTGGAAAGCAATAAGAGGATTGGTCAGAGTCAGCATGGATTTACGAAAGAGAAATCATACTTGACAAATCTGCTGGAGTTTTGTTGAGGATGTTACTAATAGAGTTGGTGAGGGGAGCCAGAGGATGGGGTTTACTTGGACTTTTGGAAGGCTATCAATAAGATCCCACATAAGAAAATGACATGTAAAATTGAAGCACATAGAATTGAAAAGTTTCCGCCTCTCTTTCAGGTCGTGTGTTTCAGATTATAACTTACTGAGTTTAAAAACAAAGTTGTCCTCATCTCCCCCTCTTGCTCTGAAGGAAGGTCGTTGACTTGAAATGTTGACTCTTTCTGTCCGCAGATGCTGAGGATTTTCTGTTTTTGTTTGTGTTTGATTATTAATGAGATATTAACGTTTATGATTCAGATCCTATCTGGAATCGGAATTCATTTGAGACAGATGCAGACCTGCCCTCTGGCTGGATGCGGGTACGAGACACCTCGGGGACCTATTACTGGCACATTCCAACGGGAACAACTCAGTGGGAGCCGCCGCCACCTGCCTGTGACCAGGAATCAGGATCTCGGAAACCTTCTGTCATGTCACAGTGTACGACTCCCTTGGAGGATCAACAGGTAAATGCAGCAGGTTGTAAACTTGGTGGGTAGCAGAGGAAGTGATTGTTCACCCTGGAAGAGAGGGACCCCAGAGGGTCCAGTATTGAATGAAGGATAAAAATGTAAGGCTTCAAAAACATTGAAGCTAGTAGGGGAGAAGGTGGGTACAACATATCGTACGAAAATAGGAACAGGAGGAGACAATTCAGTATAAGCAGGACTGATCTGCTTTTCCAACTGACCTGGATAGAGAATTCCAAAGATTCATTATCCTTCGAGTGAAAACATTTGCCCTCATCTTAATCCTAAACAGTTGGTTCCTTATCCTGAAAGTGTGTTCCTGGTTTCTAGATTCTCAGCCCGGGCAAACAACCTATCAGTGTCTATTTGGTCAAACCCATTCAAAATCTGTACAGTTCAATGAAATTACTTTTTGTTCTGCTAAATTGCAGAGAATATGGACCAGTTTATTCAGGCTCTCATCATGGACAACGTTCTAACCTTAGAGACTAATCTAGTGAACCTAGGTGGGTTGGGGATAATAGAAGATGGGTGGCTGGTTGTAAGTGATTGCTGGTTCAATAACTTTTATTTTTGTCCTGTCTGCCCCCACATTCTCTCCACATGTCTCTGTTTGCTGGATTACCCTCCCTTTTGTATTTTTCCTTCCTCCATATTGTTGTTGTCACTGCATTTGCCCTTTGGAACTTTGTTCCAGCTGACTTGGACTGGTTTAACTGTGGGTGAGAAGTGTGTTGGAGTCGACATGTGGAAGGCAAGTTCCTGTTTATTTAGTGTGTTTATATCTTGGCAAAAATGAATTTAAGGAAGACAATGGTTCCTGTGTTAGAGATGCAGCAGGAACTGATTGGACAGCAGACCATGCCTGATGTGTGGCAGTGGTCTGAAGGTAATGTAGTGGAACATAGCAGACAATGTCCCAGCTCCCTCCTAAAGGAATGGAATAGATACAGTCTCCCCCGACCCTTCCCCCAGCAAACAAAAACACACACACACTTTACCCACTCCACCCCTCCACACCCCCCGCACGCACGCACACGCACACACAGACACACACACACACACACACTCTCTTTATTTATTCTCATAGGTCTCCATGGGAGGTGGGACCAGACGTATGGACACTGGCGCTGAGAGTCCACCTCCAGGATAGTGAACATGTTGTTTCATGGAGTGAAATCATCCCTATGGATATTTAGGACCTCAAATGATTCCTGACCAGATAAAGTCCACTGAACAGTGTAGAATCCCTGCTGTAAGAAGGAAGCCATTTGGCCCATCAAGTCTGCATCGACTTTCCATAGAGTATCCCACCCAGACCTACTCCCTTATTCTCCTAAACCCTACAATTCTCAAGTAAATCCACCTAGCCTGCACAACCCCTGGACACTACAGGGCAATTTAGCATGGCCAGTCCACCTGATCTGCAGGTCTTTGGACTGCGGGAAGAACCGGGAGCACATGGAGGAAACCCACACTGACACTTGGAGAAGTGCAAACTCCACACAGTCAGTCAACCAAGGGTGGAATTGAACCCAAGTTCCTGACACTGTGAGGCAGTAGTGCTAACCACTGTGCCACCCTTGCATATATTGATAAAGCTGGAACACACCTCATGAAAGTCTATTAGAGGTGATCAGGGGGCTTAGGATGATTATTTAAATACAAACGATATTCAAGATTATGGGGAAACAGCAGGAGAATGGCATTAAGTTGTAGTGCTCACTCAGGGAGCTGGTACAGACACACTGGGCCAATTGGCCACCTTCTGAGCCTTAACTGACCTGTGACATAGTGTCTTTTCAAACTTCGAGCAGTACCAAAAAATTTTCCAGCTTCACTTTGGGACGTCATCCCTGTCATAATAATAGAATTAGAACATGACAAGATCCCACAAATAGCCATGTGATGGTAACCAGATAACCTGATTTTTGACCATATTAGTTTAAGGGTGTTACAACCTATGCAGAGGGATGTGTGCTCATTCTCAAGCTCCACTGATCCACAAAAATTACTGATTTAATCAAAGTATGCACAGACCTTGATTTACCTGTATGATGGACTCAGGTTAACAGAAAACACTAACCAGGTTTCTGCACTTGATAAGAAACTATATTTATTACAAGATGAGTAAATTCTGACCACAGGTGAAAGATCACTATATAACTCTAATAGTTAAATCTCTAACCCCATTTAAAATCTCTACATATACGCAAGGGAATTCCTAGAGGCCTGGTTTTCAACCCATAATGCAAGCAACAAACATGTGGAATTGGACCCCATATACAAATCCATGCAGAACAGAACCGGAAATGACACAACCCAACTTAACAGACCGGATCATATAAATACCAAGTGGTGTAGAACAACATTGCTTCATTGGAGGCCACAGGGATGATGTTACTTAGCATGGTGATGAAACATCTATACAATAGCCAGCCAGCTCGGCGAACTTCAACTCTACATATACGTACAGAAAGACTCAGAAATAAAATTGTGAATGTTATGAGTGGAGGAAAAAATACAGGGGAACACACTGTTCAATAGCACCAATCTACAGGCTTTGATGAGATGTTTCCTTTTCTTACTAAGTCTTTCTGTTCTTCAAAGTCCCTCCTTACAGGTTCTCGATTATTTGCCAAAGGCACAGGGGTTTTACTCATTAATTGTTCAGTTTCACAGTCAGTGGTGAGAGGCAACAGCTAACAGCATATGGTGAGAGTGAATAAGTGACTTCCTTCAGCTTGAGTTACAAAAATGGAAATTGCTTGATAAACTTCTTCTGAAGAAGGGTCACTAGATCCAAAACATTAACTCTGCTTTCTGTCCATAGATGCTGACAGATCTGCTGAGTTTTTCCAGTCATTTCTGTTTTTGTTTCAGATTTTCAGCATCCACAGTTCTTCGTTTATTTCAGCTGGAGTTACTTTGCTACAAAGAGGTAGACAGATCATGATTCTTCCAGTCTCGAAAATTTTCTGACCCTGTATTGGTCATGCACAGAAGTGGTTTAGTGCTCAGGAACCAATCAAATAGTTCTTGTTCTGCTGATGACCTTTGATATCCACACTGGTCATATTGCACAAACCAATCAACAACCTATTGTCAGCCAAGTGTCATTGCATATAAACCCATAGACCGTGCCATCCTTATAATCTCATCACCCCCACTGTTTGCAAAACAGTTGTGTAAATATAACTCTCAATGATTTCCAGTCAGATGTTTTTAAAAAACTGGCAACTTCTTTCTGAATCCTTGGTTTAAAACAGTCCTTTTCCCATTTGAGCCCCCTGCAATCAAATATAAAAATGTGAAGATGTGATCTTTACATGCCTCAACCCTTACAAAAGATGAAATGACATTTAGAAAAAATGCTTTTTTAATAAGGTATGTGACACACAAATAAAAAGACATCTGACTTGTATCCATTCATCCTTCCTCACCTCTTATACAGACTTTATACAATCTTTCAGCATTTCTTAAATCTTCAGCTTACTCTATCATTTTACACTTGGGACAGTGCATCAACATCTTTTCCAGCAGTGTTAATAATCTTTCCTTTAAGTAGTTGAATGAACAGACTCTATCTGAATAGCCTCACATTCCGAGTTTTAAACCTTTCAATGAGTGTCAATGGATTATGGTCAGTGTAGATTAATTTTTTTTGTTACTAAATTGTGCATAGACTTCAAAGTGTTGAAGTACCAATAATAATACCAAAGTCTCTTTTCTGTAGAAGAGTACTTAGTTTCTTAGAAAATTGGCTTCTCTATTTCTGACTTATCAAACTATAACAAAGCTGCACCTACCCATAAATCACTGCTATCAGTCGTCATTTTAAAAGGTCTGGAAACATTAAGATTCCCTTCAGCTTCTTAAAAGCTGCCAAAACACTTTTGTTTGTTTCTTTAACATGGAAATGTAGAATATTGGAGCAGGCATAGTCCGTTCGGTCCTTTGAGCCAGCTCCACCATCATTTCACAGATTCATTAAGGGTACTGCTATCATGCTGAAATCTTCCAGTAAAACCCACAGATTCCTAAAAACTCATGATTTCTTAGTTAGTTTTAGGAACAGAGAATGCTATTAGAGCCTTCACTTTTGTAGTTCTTGAGAACACTTGTCCTTGTTCTACAATATGATTGAGGTAAGGTACTCTTACTTTCACAAATTCACTTTTGGCTACATTTATTACTAAGCCATCTGACTTGCTTAAGCAGGTCTTCTGCCTGTCTCACATGCTCTTCCCATGTATCATCTATTACAACATCATTTAAATAAAATACAGTTACGTACTTCAGCTATGACTTGATTCATAAGCCTCTGGATTTTAGCTTGAGCATTCTTTAACCCAATGAAATCACTTTACATTGGTAAAGCCCAATTGGTGTGACAAAAGCAGAAAGATCTTTTCGCCCTTGATATTAATGTCACGTGCCAGGACCCCTTCAATAGATCAAACTTAGAAAGGATTGAGACACTATCCAACCTTATTGATACAGTCTTCAACTGTGGATTTCACCACAAATCTATTTTCTGACCATATTTCTGTAATCGATACAGAATCTAGTTGACCCATTCAGATTAGGAGTTAACACAAAGGGTGAATTCCGGCTGCTTTGACCAGGTTCAGTCAGAGGTTTTTCAAACGTATATACCGAATCTGTGTTTTCACCTGAGATTGTTTTTCTGTGCCCAACTGACAAGCATGTTGTTTTCTTAGTTCTGATTCTCCTACATCCACATTGTGTCTAGCTAATGTAGTACATCCAGATAAATCTCTGCAGATTGATTTATATGTTCTAAGTGGTCTTGCAATATCCTTCTGTTCTCCTCCCTCTAAGTATGACAGCACAGTATCAAACTGTTCCAATATTAGCCAGTCGAATTATAAAAGGTTGGCTTTCAGCACTAACTACCTTTCTTCCCACCTCATTTTTACTGTCTCTGTCATCCTTCATTACTCTTATCACCTGACACACTTGCTGCTCCTTATCCTTTTCCCTGCAGTGGCACCATTTCAACATATTTATGTGACATAACCAATGCTTGACATGTAAGACATGATTTACAGAACTGCTGTACAACTTTATGAAGTCTTGGCCATTTAAAATATCTATTTATCAATACCTGTATTTTCCAAATTAGTATGTCCCACCATACGAACTTCATGTGCTACTTGCAGTCTCTCCTAATGATATCTGGGCAGTACCACGGTTTGATAAACAACTGACCATTCTTTATCTGCTGCTCTGTGAGGATGTCTCCATTTCCTCATCAGAACTCTGTTATTATATGAAGAACGATGTGGAACTCCTTAGCCCTCAGCTTCAGCATGAGCTGCCTGCGCTAACTTACTTAACTTTGAATCGGCTTCCTAAGCCTCAATTAATGAAGACGCAGCAAACGCATCTTCCAAGTTAACCTCACTCTTGAATAGAGTTTCAGCTACCCCAACACCACTTGTTGTGTTACTGTGACTTATGGTGATGCACCCTGTTTAACCATTGCTCTGACCACTACACACAATGGAAAAATACCCTGAACTTGTCCTTACAACTGTTCATTGTCTTTAGCCTCACTCGGACATTCTTTGACTGTGAGCAAAGTTATAATTTTGATTTCAGCAAATTTATTCCCTAGGCATAAATCAACAATATCCATGAGTAATTTCTTTTCTGCTCATACTACTGCTAATCCAGATAACAAGTCAAACTTCACTTGGACTTTCTGCAGTGGAAATGGAATGTACT